CTCTGTGTCTGAACATCATAGGCTGCTGTCTAGTCTCCACGGTCTACCTGAGCATCGTCTATTACCAAGCGCCGGTCGAGTACTTGCTGATAGGAGATTTTATCTCCGGCGTGACCGGAGGACAAGCCTTGCTTCTGTCGACCGGTGCGGCTTATGTGGCGGATGTGACGTCAGAAAAGTCCAGGACGCCACGCATCATCTTTCTCGAGACAATATTCTTTATAGGTAGGCAATGAACAAATTAAAGGCAAATGTAGGCCTACACGGTATCTCCATTTGCCACTATACTCCCTTAGGGGCTGTTTCACAAAGATCCTAGGTCGAACTTAACTCCACGTTGGACTTAAACATTATGGAGAGCCAGTTGTAGCCTTAAGGGGCAACTCTAACCCAACTAATATAATGGGAATCAATAGCGCGTGCAAAACACTAGGCACAGTACAGTGGGCATGAACAATAACTGCTCGTACGAATGCTTGCAAACATGCAAGAAGCAGCGAAGGCTTAGCTTGCTCGCGTGTACAAAGCACCATACACTATGAATATGACAGACAATGAAAGCGGACAAAATATACAGTTCCTTAGGTAGACAAAGGAACATCCCTTCACTGCTATTATGTAAAAATGTGTAGAACAGGTGTCACATGCATATTCACCTGTTCTACACATTTTACATAATAGCAGTCAAGGGATGTTCCTTTGTCTACCTGAGGAACTGTATATTTTGTCCGCTTTCATTGTCTGTCATGTTCATAGTGATAACGGTAGCGTGCATGCAAGCTTATGGCAGGATATGAGTTAAGCTCGTTTTCTTACTATATATTTTCCCTCTAGGTATGGGTGCAGGGCAGATCTCTCTTGGAACGGCATTGCAATACAGTCCTGATCAATCCTTTAAGAAGTACATAGCACCACTATGGCTGGCTCTTGGTTGTGCCGTAGCGTCGTTGGTGTATACCGTTCTTCCAAACGTCCTGATAGAAACGGTGGATAGACGTAATAGAAGAAAAATTGTTGGAGTGAGGGTGTTGGTATCTGGGATTGTTGATATAATCAGGGTAAAGTTTTTTTCTTCAGCACTTTTCTTTACTATTATTACTTCACTACTATTGTTATCATTTTCATTATGATTATTATTGTCATTTCCATTATAATTGGTATCATTATTTTTATAATAACCATCATCATCATAATCATTGTTGTTATTATTATCATCATTGATTTTATTCTTATTATTCCTAATATTGTATTACTATTGTAATTATTATTATTATCGTCGCTATCATAATCATTATTAAATCATTATTTTCATCATTGTCATTATTATTTACATTAATACTGTCATTATGATTTGAATTACTGATATTATTATTATCATTATAATCATCATTAAAATCATTATTATTATCATCGACGCACCTGGGTCTACCTAGATATATGAATGAACTATTGATATACAGTATATATAGCTTTCGCAGAAAGTGCATTGGCTGGCTCCCTTTTGTTGCGAGGGCTTTTGTATGCCCATTTATACAGACCAGTTCATCGTCAATGTTTGTGCCCAAATAATTATGTATAATAATCTTGCCCTGTAATGCTTTCTACTTTCTTGATCGTGCATGAAATCAAACAGGATTAAGTCAATGCAATACATACGTATTTATGTGTCATCATCGTCTTGGGTTATAATTTTTCTTCTTCTTCTTCTTCTTCTTCTTCTTCTTCTTCTTCATCTTATTATTATTATTATAATTTAAGGTGATAATGTACTTGGTTTTTATGATTTCAACAGTCATTACCGCCAAATGCCAAACATGATATATTGAAATCGTCACTCTTTTTACACTTCTCTTTTTCTTTTTCATCAATCAGATAAACACCAATGGCAGGCGATTAAAGGTGATAATGTACACGGTTGTTATGATTTGTATAATCATAACAGCCAAATGCCAGTCGCAATTAACTGTAGTTTACAGTCTTGGGGAGCCGTTCTGTTTCAACCCTCTGATGGTTTCTATTCTGAACATCGTTGGGACAACAAGCCAAGCTCTTGGTATGTATCTCTCCCTCTTATTCTTTTTCTTCTTCTTTTTTCTTTTACCTCTTCGTCTTCTTCATTTCCTCTTCTTCTACTTCATTTTGATCTTTTTTCATCTCATTCTATTTCCCTTCTTCTTTTTAGATGCTTCTCCTTTCTTCTCCTTCTCTTCCTCCTCCTCCTCTTCTTTCTTCCTCTCCTTCTTCTTCTTCTTCTTCTTCTTCTTCTTCTTCTTTAGTTTCATTAAACTGCTCATGATGTCCATACTAACCATCTTTGGTTTATGAAGAAAAGATTTGGGTATGTTTTTATTAATATCATTAACAGTATTAGTAATACATGTCGTTGGTCTAGTAGCTTTATCATTATAATAATTACTATTATCATTTTTGTTATTGTTGTTGTTATTATTATTGATGTTTTTGTTTGGGGGCGTACTTATTATATTTATTACCCGTTTACGACGGTGAGGAGCTGAAACAACGTTAACCCATATACACACAAAGTTAACCCCTCTCCGGCTGTAAACACATTTGCCAAGATTGAACAGTTTGGCAAAGTAAGATTATAAAAAGCACTGAAATGCCAGAAATAGGAAAAGTTGTATTTTCTATCTTCATTGTCACGGCTAGATCAACAGTCAAATGCATTTCTTGTGAAACTTCGACCTCGTATTTAAACTTCTTATTTAGAAATGTTTTATTTATTTATTTATTCATCATTTATTTTTTTTTTAATTCTTTTATTTTTATTTTTTTCTCGTCAGGTATGATATTCAGCGGTGCTGTCCTAGGTCGTATTTTGAGTGAGAACTGGATTCTTCAGCTGAGTTTCTGGAATACCGCACTTTTTTTTCTTATTATTGCTCTAGCACAAAGAGGTTTTCAATTATTTATTGGTAAGTAAAATGACTGTGAAGTTTAATTCCCCTCTCAGGGGAAACCCACTACCTAACAAAGATGATTTAGTGGTGTTTGTGTGTGTGTGTGTGTGTGTGTGTGCCTTTGTGTGTGTGTCTACAATGTGCGGAGGTGTGGGTGCGCGCGTGCGGGTGTCGGGGGAGTACTCTACTGTGTGTTGTGTGCGTGAAGTGGTGCGTGCGCGTGCGGTTAAGCGTGTGTGGGTTAGAGTGTGGGTGTTAGCTGGTGAGTGGAAGGAAACATAACTTTACATGAATAGGCCTACATTGAACATGAAGTCTTAAAGACCCTATCCGAGGAAATAAAACTTGATTTAAATTGAAAACTGAATCAATGTAGAATACAAATATAAAGGAATAAAAAGTACATACCCTTTCGTTATTGCACAAGGGCATATTAAAACCTCACTTTCTGCACCCCTCCAAATTACGGGAGAACGTACAGGGGTCAAATTTGCCACAGTTACAGCGATGACATAACATGTGGACCCGACCGGTTGACCTATAATATGGCTATATAGCTGAGGCCATGAACCATGCTTAATTCATACAAAGTCATTGTGAATATTGTATGTGTACTAGCTACACACAAGATGATGTCGTCAAGTCGATAGCAAGTTTTTAGGTCGACAACTTCCGATTTTCAAAGCTTTAGATTTTGAGTTTTCAGAGAGCTGATACTACTTTGGTAGACACTAAAATGGCATGTAATTGATATTATTGTAACGTATGGCTTATAAAACCTCTCCGTTGATTTATAATTCATTCATTTCATTTTCAGTTCTGATATCAAGGGTGTCGATTTGTATCCGAGGTTGGGGGGGGGGGGGGGGATGATAGGTTCCAAAATATTTTCGGCAATGGATCAACGCAACCAAGAGGTAGAAGCGTGTGGCAGGTTGCACCCCTCCCCAAGCGCGTAGCCAGGATTTCATTTTAGGTGGGGGGGGCGGTAGTGAGCACGCAAATCACTTACAGAGCGCGCACCCTAGGAGGTTGGATTCAGGGAGGAGGCAGTTTTCCCCCTCCCCGCGAAGCGCGGAAGCTTTGACGTTTTATTAAATTATTAGAGAAAGAAGAACATTCGTTTGACCGTTCTCGACTCTTAATCCTTGTTTGAATCAAGTTCCCCTTCCTCCGCGCATAGCGCGGAAGCTCTGATGTTTCATTAGATTATTAAAGAAAGAAGACGATTCGATGTACCATTCTCGACTCTTAATCCTTGTCTGAATTCAGTTTCCCCCCATCTTTTCCGCGCGAAGCGCGGAAGATTCCACGTTTCATTTAATTAGTAGAGAAAGAAGACGATTAGTTGTCTCGTGTCCTTGTCTGAATTCAGGTTCCCCCCTCCCGCGCGAAACGCGGAAGCTTTGAAGTTTCATTTAATTATTATTCTTAATCCACGTCTGAAATCATTTTCGCCCATCCCGCGCGTAGCGCGGAAGCTTTCACGTTTCCTTTAATTATTAGAAAAAGAAGATGATTCGTTGTATCGTGTACTTTGACGTTTCATTTAATTATTACTCTTAATCCTAGTCTGAATTCAGTTGCCCCCTTCCGCGCAAAGCGCGGAAGCTTTGCCGTTTTACTAAATTATTAGAGAAAGAAGACGTTTCGTTGTACTGTTCTCTATATTAATCCTTGTCTGAATTCAGTTTCCCCACATGATGTACGTATGGAACGTTCGCTCGCAAATTTTTGCATGCACAGCCCGAGTGGTGGGTATCATGTTATCTCCTGGCAGTGCTTGTCGCAATAGCTTCTGGAAAGGAATTGTATAATACTTTTAGTGTTATCGGCCACTAATTAGGCCCATTAGCGACTATACAAAATATATGCTCTTCCTGGCTATTTGGGAATGTGTCAGTTTGCAACAGAAATGACAAACGCAAATTTTGTTGAAAATCATGTGATATCACGAACATTTATAAATCACTTGTATGAAATTGAAAATAAACCATGGTTGGATGTTATTTTTTTTTTTTGGGGGGGGGGGGCTAGCCGTATGACTAATTGCCTTTTCTTTTTCTTTCCGTAGCTGCCGGTATCGGGGTGTTTAACGCCATATGTTTCCCTGTCCTACGATCACAACTCTCCAAGCTAGCGTGTGAACACGAACGAGGTACGCATACCCAGAGGGAGTCGGGCAAACTCGGACGCAGGGACAACTCGGCCCGTTGCGAATACGGGGCAGATCAGAGTTGTCTCGCCATAATTGTTTTTTATGATTTTTTTGTACGGTTATTAAGGGTTAGGGTTAGGTTTTAGAGTTAGGGTTAGGGTTAGGTTTTAGGGTTAGGGTAGGTTTAAAGTAGGGTAGGGTACACTGGGACAACTCGGCCCCGTATTTGCAGCGGGAGTCCGAGTTACCCCGGAACCAAACAGAGATGTATTACTTTCTTATGACAAAGTTTTTTGCAAGTGTTTCCATAGTGACTACCTTATTGTGGCAGAAGGTAGAAAGAGATGAGTAGTTATTATACACATTTTTTTAATTCAGTTTCTGAGTTTTCGTTATTAATTTGTCCAGCTTTACTCTTCGTAAAAACGAATATCCTTGCATTCGACTCGACTCTGTTAGTACATTGGTCGCCTAGTTCGGGGCGGGGGGGGGGGGGGTTATAGGAGCACTAACTTTTTTCTTCTCCAAATTCGTGAGAAAATATTTAGCGACGAATCACCCCCACCCCCTCCCCTTGCGCCAGGGGGGGGGGCGTCTTCTTTTTTATCTACAAAAATTTACCTGTTTTTTGGCAGGGGAGGGGGCCCGGGCCTCCCCCCCCCCCCCCCCCCATCCCTGGATCCGCCACTGATGTGTGAGCCTACTTCAGTTTCTGTTAAATGATTACGAATACAGGTTTTTGTTTAGGGGCTTTGAGACACAACTTTTGTATACAAATATTACGTTGAAATCACTCTCCAAACTTTTTAGGGATAAAATGATTAGATTTTGTAAAAATATTGATGTTTTTGTTCTCCTTTTTGCAGGTCTGATGTTGGCCTTTGTCGGATGTATGGATAGTTTAGGGGCCTTATTGACACCCATCATCCTTAATAATATTTACTCAGAGACCGTCTCGTTTTATCCACCTTTGGTCTTCTTCTTTAGTGCAGCATTTCAGGTCATCCCTACCGTCAGCGTCGGGTAATTTGATTTCTTACAATCTCTCTCTCTCTCTCTCTCCTTTTTTCTCTCTCACTCTCCTTCTCTCTCTGTCACTGTCACTGTATTTCTATCTCTCTCTCACTATGTTCCTATCTCTCTCTCTCTCTCTCTCACTATGTTTCTATTTCTTTCTCTCTCTTTCTTTATTTCCTTCGCTCTTTCTCTCTCTCTCTCTTTCTATCTCTATATCTCTCTTTATTTCTCTCGCTCTTTCTATATATATATCTCTCTCTCTCTCTCTCTCTCTCCCCTTCTGTCTATCTCTTTCCTTCTATCACACTTTATTTGTCTTTGTCCTTGTCTTTTAATTTCTCTATCTCTGTCCCCTCTCTTTCTCTCTCTCTCTCTCTCCCTCTCCCTCTCTCTCTCCCCTCTCCCTTTCTCTCTATCTTTCTCTCTATCTCTATCTTTCTATCACACTTTAGTTGTATGTGTATTTTTCTTTTTCTTTCTCTGTCTCCTTCTCTGCACCCTCCCCCTCTATCTCTCTCTCTCTCTCTCTCTCTCTGTGTTTCTCAAAGTCCTACTGTTTTCTATTTGCTTTGGTTTTTGATATTGTTGAATAGCGTTAATATTGAGTTGGCTCAGTCGAATGACCCATCTTGTGCAGCCGTCATGAATCATCTGTCTATATCTACCCTTCATTTTTCTCTGATCAATGCACTAATGATAGCCAATTGTTTGAATAAGACTCTTGTGCAGTAGTGAGACAAGCCGAGTTTCATTTTAGCCTGTATAAAGTATATATTAATTTATTATAGTTTCTTACTTTCTCTCTCTCTCTCTCTCTCTCTCTCTCTCTCTCTCTCTCTTTCTTTCTCATTCCTCATTTACAGCATCCTACAGTGCAGGCATAGAAGAGAAGTTAAATATCTCGTGATCAATAGGGAGGACATTGAAGAACACAGTAAAGCATCATGACGTCACAAAGCAATCAATCGGACATCTGACAATGTGTTATGATCGACGCTTTCCTTTTTTTCGCAATGAAAATCTACAATAGCGCCAACTTGCTTTGTTGCGCAATGGAAGTGTCACCGAATGTAGAGGTCATCTAACCGAACGGTGGTACATAATTAAGCGGGTATATAAGATAGACCATTTACTGCCCAAGGGACAGACAAGTGCCATATAGACCCTCTTCATGCACCCATGCACCGTGATAGCAGGTTGCCATTTCCCCAAGCATTACGACCACATGCAGATTAACAGTGCCATTTACATTGTGATGGGGGTACGCCCCCCCCCCCCCCCAATCAAATGATCACACAATTAGTAAAAAGATCCCCAAGAGAGAAAGAGAGAGAGAGAGAGAGAGAGAGAGAAGGAAAAAAGGAATACGGATGAAGACAAGTATGATGGGCCCCATCTGATCTACGCACCCTTCCCTAAGAGACAGGCGCGGATCCAGGATTTCTTAGGGGTTTTGGGGTCCAAATTTGAAATCAATTTGAAATTTAGTGTGCTGAAATAAGAAAATCGTGCCGGCCAATATTTCGCTCGGGGGGGGGGGGGGGGGGGGGGCAGGGGTACTAGTGAGCACTCATTTTATTTCAATTTTTTTTTTTTTTTTTTTTTTGGGGGGGGGGGGGCCCTCGAAAATTTGAAAAATTGCACCCCCCCCCTTGAGCGCCAGGGGGGGGGGGGGCATCTCCAAAAAGGTTTTGCTACCAGTCTCTAGCTGATTGATAAAACCTGACGTAGTTTACTCGTTTTTATAGAATTCTTAACTCACCAAATATTTACTATATTTTTATGAAGCATTATAGTTATATATGTATATTTTGTACGTACTGTACACTGCCAAAATGTTTATGTATATTCTCAATTACATTTGGCAATGTACATAACTCAAATATTGAATGTACGGTGTATACTAATAATGTTTAATATATAATGTAACAAATAAAGTCGAATCCAAGTCATATTTATTTTTGTTCTGATAATTTCATTTTGTTGTCTTGTTGTGATATTCTGGGCCCCATCTTATATAAAAAGTTGCGATTTATCCAAATCAATTGCAAGTCTTCTCACATCAATCGCGTGTTTGCAGTCTCCTATTTAGCACAAAGTTGCGATTGATATACTAAGCCTTTGCGATTAATCGAATAAGACAGGGCCCACATGCACGCACGGGACACCCAAAGTCTCGTGGTGTCACTACATATTCAAAGTGGTAGCATGCTTGACCGTTAGCGAAGTCGAAAATGGCCCCCTATATATGTTGCTCGTCAGAGAAGGATCCCCCCACCCCCACCCCTTAATTCCCGTCAGAGAATCGTAAATCCGCCACTGATATAAAACTTGTAGAATTGGAGAAATAGCGATTGATTGCTGCGCGACATGTGGGGGGGGGCCTGCGGGGGGCTGCATGTGGCCACCGCCCCTACATTTTGTGCATATATTTTTCGTAATGCTTAGATTAGGCTCATTATACTTTTGCAACTCTTCCAAGAATTTTGATCATATTCAGGTAAATAATCAGGAGGAGGTTTCATCATACAAAAAGGCCCAAACGGTCGAGAGGCTGTATACGGTGGCCATATTTTTTCAGTTAATGCTTTAAAAATAATGTGAACGATCAAAGATTTTGACACGTTATAGTGATACTTTCATTGGAATTCATAAAAAATAAAAATAAACTAGACATGTAATACTTGTTTGGAACAAGTATAGGTGGGCTGGTCAACTAAAATTTGAGACAAAATAGAGCAAAAATAAGCGAGATACTGCTTAAAAATTCTTAAAAAACAATATCATGTAGATTCATGACTTCACCTTCTATAGGCATAACACCCGAATTATGAAATTTCTGACATGAGGCCTTTAATCAAAATTTTCACTATGATGACGTCATCAAAATTAAAATTGGTGTCCATTGAGCTTGTAGAAAATTGTCTTAGCTACAACATATCAAAATTTGAGAGAAAATCGATCAATATTTACAGAGATACAATTAATTTTCCATAAATATGCTGACGTCATAATATGCAAATTCGTATTTTGAGTTCCAAGGCCATTATGATGACGTCATAATATTTGTAATGGCCAAATGAGACATGAAATCATATCTCCGACTCACACTCTATCAAAATATGAAAAAAAATATTGGTTTCCAGTTGCATTCTACAGAGCTATAATGGATTTTGTATATGCCTGTTTTTGCCCATATATGCTATGTATTAAAAGAGCTCGCGCGCACGGACATTTATCTTGAATGGACGCTCATCTTGTTATTAATGGTCATAAAGAGATAAACGTGGTATCAAATTGTTCAAAAGAATATAAGAAATATCATGAAAGAAAAAAAATGCGATTTTATGTTGTGTAATAGTTTTACGCGCGAAAACGCGCGCGCATGCGCGTGTGCGCGATTTTTTATAAAATGCTTAGAATGGCCTAAAACGTATGCAAAATGATTTTGAGACGATTTTGAGCATTTCATAATTTTACGCGCGCATTGACGCGCGGACGTACGCGCACGCGCGTGTTTTTTGACCTGTCATTGACCGGACGGATATTGACCTTGATCATGATAAATATGAATGAGAAATACTTTTTGGTTATGAAGATATGATCGTGAGTTGATTTACTTAAAATTTTACAAAATGGCGCCTAGATGACGTCATCAGTCAAGGTCAAGGTTAAAAAATTTGCTGTGTTTTGTTCATATGCCTATACATATGTGTGCCAAATTTTAAGATATTTGATTGAGCCATTTTCAAATTATCTTGTCCACAAAAAAGTGGGTCGAAATAAGAAAAATAAATAATAAACTAGACATATAATACTTGTTTGGAACAAGTATAGGTGGGCTGGTCAAACTGAACTTTGAGACAAAATAGAGCAAAAATAAGCGAGATACTGCTAAAAAAAACAATGTCATGTAGATTAAAGATGTACGAAATTCACCTTCAATAGGCATAACACGCTACTTAAGACATTTCTGATATGTGCCCTTTAATCGTAATTTTCACTATGATGACGTCATCAAAATGAAAAATGGTGATGACTGAGCTTGTAGAAAATTGTCTAAGCTACATCATATCGAAATTTGGAAGAAAATCGATAAATATTTACAGAGATACAATCAATTTTACATAAATATGCTGACTTCATAATATGCAAATTCGTATTTTGAGATCCAAGGCCATTATGATGATGTCACGATACACTTAATGGCCAAATGAGACATGGAATCATATCTTCGACTCATACTCTATCTAAATATGAAAAAAATTGAAGGTCACGGTTCATTCCAAAGAGCTATAATGGATTTTGTATAGGCATGTTTTTGCCCATATATGCTATGTATTAAAAGAGCTCGCGCGCACGGGCATTTTTCTTGAATTGACGCTCATCTTGTTGTTAATGGACATAAAGAGATAAACATGGTATCAAATTCCTCGAAAAAATATGAGAAATATCATGAAAGAAAAAAAAATGGCGATTCTATGTTGTGTAATGGTGTAACGCGCGAAAACGCGCGCGCATGCTCGTGCGCGCGATTTTTTATAAAATGCTTAAAATGACCTGAAACGTATGCAAAAAAAAATTAAGACGATTTCGAGCATTTAAAATTTTTGCGCGCGTAATGACGCGCGGACGTACGCGCACGCGCGCGTTTTTTGACCTGAATTTGACCGGACTGATATTGACCTTGATCATGATAAATATGAATGAGATATTACTTTTGGTTATGAAGATATGATCATAAGTTGATTTTCAAAATTTTTCACAAAATGGCGCCTAGATGACGTCATCAGTCAAGGTCAAGGTCGAAAAATTTGCTGTGTTTTGTGAATATGCCTATACATATGTGTGTTAAATTTTAAGATATTTGATTGAGCCATTTTCAAATTATCTTGAACACAAAAAAGTGGGTCGAAATAAGAAAAACTAGACATATAATACTTGTTTGGAACAAGTATAGGTGGGCTGGTCAACTTAAATTTTAAACAAAATAGAGCAAAAATAAGCGAGATACTGCTTTAAAATTCTCAAAAAACAATATCATGTAGTTTCATGACGTAAACGAAATTCACCTTCTATAGGGATAACGCTAATTATGAAATTTTTGGCATGAGGCCTTTAATCGAGATTTTCACTATGATGACGTCATCAAAATGAAAAATGATTATTACTGAGCTTGTAGAGAATTGTCTTAGCTACATCATAACGAAATTTTGAAGAAAATTTATCAATATTTACAGAGATACAATCAATTTTACATAAATATGCTGACGTCATAATATGCAAATTCGTATTTTGAGTTCCAAGGCCATTATGATGATGTCACAATATACCTAATGGCCAAATGAGACATGGAATCATATCTCCGACTCATACTCTATCTAAATATGAAAAAAAATTGAAGGTCACGGTTCATTTCAAAGAGCTATATTGGATTTTGTATAGGCATGTTTTTGCCCATATATGCTATGTATTAAAAGAGCTCGCGCGCACTGACATTTATCTTTAATTGACGCTCATCTTGTTATTAATGGTCATAAAGAGATAAACATGGTATCAAATTCCTTGAAAAAATATAAGAAATATCATCAAAGAAAAAAAAATGGCGATTCTATGTTTTGTAATGGTGTTACGCGCGAAAACGCGCGCAAATGCGCGTACGCGCGATTTTTTATAAAATGCTTAAAATGACCTAAAACGTATGCAAAAAAATTTGAGACGATTTTGAGCATTTAACAATTTTGCGCGCGCACTGACGCGCGAACGTACGCGGACGCGCGCGTTTTTTGACCTGAAATTGACCGGACACATATTGACCTTGATCATGATAAATATGAATGAGAAATGAATTACCGTTATGAAAATATGATCATGAGTAAATTTTCAGAAAATTTCACGAAATGGCGCCTAGATGACGTCATCAATCAAGGGCAAGGTTGAAAACTTTGCTGTGCCTTGTTCATATGCCTATACATATGTGTACCAAATTTTAAGATATTTGATTGAGCCATTTTCAAATTATCTTGAACACAAAAAAGTGGGTCGAAATAAGAAAAATAAATAATAAACTAGACATATAATACTTGTTTGGAACAAGTATAGGTGGGCTGGTCAAACTGAACTTTGAGACAAAATAGAGCAAAAATAAGCGAGATACTGCTAAAAAAACAATGTCATGTAGATTAAAGATGTACGAAATTCACCTTCAATAGGCATAACACGCTACTTAAGACATTTCTCATATGTGCCCTTTAATCGTAATTTTCACTATGATGACGTCATCAAAATGAAAAATGGTGATGACTGAGCTTGTAGAAAATTGTCTAAGCTACATCATATCGAAATTTGGAAGAAAATCGATAAATATTTACAGAGATACAATCAATTTTACATAAATATGCTGACTTCATAAAATGCAAATTCGTATTTTGAGATCCAAGGCCATTATGATGATGTCACGATACACTTAATGGCCAAATGAGACATGGAATCATATCTTCGACTCATACTCTATCTAAATATGAAAAAAATTGAAGGTCACGGTTCATTCCAAAGAGCTATAATGGATTTTGTATAGGCATGTTTTTGCCCATATATGCTATGTATTAAAAGAGCTCGCGCGCACGGGCATTTTTCTTGAATTGACGCTCATCTTGTTGTTAATGGACATAAAGAGATAAACATGGTATCAAATTCCTCGAAAAAATATGAGAAATATCATGAAAGAAAAAAAAATGGCGATTCTATGTTGTGTAATGGTGTAACGCGCGAAAACGC